ACTTGTTTCTCCTGGGGGTGCTCTTTGGAGGGTATTTGGGCTGCCTTCGGAGACACAGTGTTTTGGGCTGTGGGAATGTAGGTGACTTGCGGATCTTTTCTTTGTGACAGTGGATGCCCCAGCACGGCTTTCTTGGCCTTCAAAGCCTTTGCTTTGGCTTCTGCTTTGGGAGGAGCGGGGTTTTCCTTCTTTGCCTTTGGTGCCATCTTCGTGAAAAGGCTAAGGCTTTGTCTTTCTTGACCACTTGGCAACATTGAATACTTTTTACTATTCTTTTTCTTGAAAGTCTTTCCTGTGACCCTGCTCTCACCTAGTGGTTCTCTTACCTCCCTATCCTCTTCTATTCACTCTTCTTTTATGGGCTCTTCCTCTCTTCATGCCCGTTTAATCTCAGTGTTCTTCAAGGACCTATCCTAGATCCTAGTCTCTTCCTACCTACACTTTGATAAGCTATTTCCCACCACTCATATGGTTTCAGATATCCATATATCTGAGATTACTCTTTTTAACTTCAGTCTTACCTACAGAACATTTCCACATATGTCTGGATATTTCACAAGCATCTCAAGCTCAATATATTCAATTGAGCTCACTCTCTATTGGGTACACTACCTCATCTTCTCTTGGCCCAAATTTTACCCAGGCCATGCTGCAGCAAATACATTTGCACAAACATAATCAGATAAACCCTCCCTTCAGTTGTACCCCACCCTTGTCACTTTCCTCCCTGGAGTCAGTCTCTGACTTTGCCATGGGGGATGGCTACAGAAACCTTGGGTGTACACGCAGCAACACTTAACCAACAGGGGATGGGAGCCAGTAGATAAATGCTCCCCACTTCAGGGGCAGACAATTCCGAGGCTCATTCAACATGACTCACAGGTCCCAGTGGGATTGAGCCTCAGGTGCCCAGGGCAGTGACTAACTTGATTACATGCTATTTATTGGCTTTTTCTTCTTCTCTTTTTAACAGATACTGTCATTAGTATGATGAATAATTTCATTATTTTAATGATTTAAATCTTGCTTTATCAAATTATGGTATAATGCAAACAAAAAAATCTCAGTGGCAGGCCAGTAAAAGTAAATTGCTAGTGTGTTAGGTGAAATTAAATTTACACTGCTATTGGTGGATCAACTTAATGGGTACAGAAAAGAATGTGTTAACTAGATCAATGTCTACATATCAGTCAAAGGGCAACTTACAGCTACCTTCCAATGTAGAAACAAGGTGAAGCACAGAAGTAGCTACGGTTGACTCCATTTCATTAGCTTTTCTGTATTATCAGAGATAGTTAACTTCCAGGATCTAGCTTTTTGACCAGACAAATCAAGGAATCAGAAAGGAAATGGTGGGACAAAGCACTCCCAGGTCCTCCAACTTTATCATCATGGCTGTAATTTTTCTGAATGTTTTATATTGACAATTTTGGGGTGGTGGGGGAGCTCTAGTGGCTTCTACTGGGCACATCCATCGCCAGCACCCTTTTGTGCTTTGCACATTCTAACAGAACATCCTCCTCCCTCCAGAATCATAATAAATGGATTCTAATATCCTGCTCAGAAAAGGTGAAATGATCACACAAAGTATCTTTTATCTTTCACTAACTGGCAACCTTAGATACTTCCTCCTCCATATCCTGGTTGGGTTGTTAAAGGTTCATACATAACATCTCTTCCCCACCTGAGATAATAAAAGATTCAACTCAGAACAAAGGAGTCAGGCACACAGAGATCAGAGCAGCTGTTTTGAGATCTGTTAAAAATGTGTCCGAGGGATGGTAACAACAGGCTTCCCAGGCTTGGACACCACTTAACCTACTGGAAGCAGAAGACTGCCTTCTACAGGTGCAGAGAGCTTGCCACATGGCCAGAAGCAAGCATCCCTCCAACATCTCCAATGATCAAAATAATCCCTTTATCTTTTCCCTCTAAAAGCTCCAGATGGCTATCCAAAACTGTGCTGTTCAATACAACTAGCCACAGGTGGCTGCTGAGCACTTGAAATGTGGCTAGTCTGAATTTGAGATGTGCTCTAAATACAAAGTAGTTGAAGATTTAGTTTTTTAAAAAAGGATGTAGGGTATCTCAATAATTTTTATATTGATTACATGTTAAATAACATTGCATGAGATTTTTAAATATTTGAATTAAATTCAAATATTGAACGAAATATTAAAATTCCACCAGTTTCATTTTCAATTTTAAAAATATGGCATACTTCCAATTTGACCAATTTCTGATTCCAAGATTTGATACTCCTAATGATCACTTGGTGAAGCTAAAACCTCAAAATTTGGGCACCTGGGGTGCTGTTAGTTAAGCGACTGCCTTGGGCTCAGGTCCTGATCCTGGAGTCCTAGGATCGAGTCCCACATCAGGCTCCCTGCTCAGCAGGGAGTCTGCTTCTCCCTCTGGCCCTCTCCCCTCTCATGCTCTCTCTCTCAAATAAATAATCTTTAAAAAAGGGGGCGCCTGGGTGGCTCAGTCGTTAAGCGTCTGCCTTCGGCTCAGGTCATGATCTCAGGGTCCTGGGATCTAGCCCTGCATCAGGCTCCCTGCTCGGCGGGAAGCCTGCTTCTCCCTCTCCCACTCCCCCTGCTTGTGTTCCTGCTCTCGCTGTCTCTCTCTGTGTCAAATAAATAAATAAAATCTTTAAAAAAAAACCCTCAAAATTTAAGATCTCCAGTACTGTATGCCCTCTTGGAAGATATCAGTTAAAAGGGAAAATGGCCCTTCCCTCAGAATTTTTAGTAGGAGGTGGAAGAGTACTTCACATTTTTAAAAATGCTCTGAAAAAATAAAATAAAAAAATAAAAATAAAAATAAAAATGCTCTGTAGATCACCAAATTTAAAAAGGGAACAAAGGGAAACTATCCTATTTATGTCCCCATTCTGTTTCACTTAACACTATACTCAAAACTCCATTAGTATTCTGAATTTGTTCTAGTCTCATCTTGCTGACAATGGCAGAATATCTTGGGGAAATACTTGATCCTCAATTTACTTTTAACAGGGGAATAAATTGAAGATTCAGAACTCTCAGATATAGTCATTGGTCAAAAGTTCGTCAATAGTCCCTTTTATTTTCTACTTGACATTATTAAATAATACCAGATATTATCCACTCTGATAGATTCTGCACTCTCTGAAGTGTTTTTCTTCAAGTTGCTTCAAGAGTTCACATGTGAATTCTTCCCTGTCACTCATCTGCTTTAAGAAAGGTGGACAAATAGGGTTGTTAGTAGATTGGGGGGGGGGGGGGCCTTCTGTTTGGCAATCCAGCTTCTTGAATCTGACTTTACCTCTCAGGAGAAATGCATCTTGGTCCACTGGGATTCATGCAGGCAAGCTAAATTCCAGACAGCCTTTCAGAATCAAGTCCTCTTCCAGGCTTCACATCAAGCAACTAGGAAGGGAATGCAGACACCTAGGGTTAAAGCTGCCTAGTCCCTGACCTTTAATAAAATAAAAATATAGGGCTGGGCCCAGGGCATAGAAGAATTTAGGGAGTCAGAACTTAAAGTTCAGTGATGTGGAATCACATCAAGGCAGACCTTAAACGTTCAGAGAAGCTTTCATTAAACAGGGAGATATTTTAGGTCTTGAGTATGGCAATGATGAGCAGGAAGGGGTCATTTAGAAAGACTGGTCTAAGAGTAATGTGCAAAATGTAATTTGTGACAGAAGCTTTTGATGTTAACCAAATATTGAGGTGCTTGTTTACTTTCCTAGCCTCTGGTGCTGGGTTCTGGTTTATGAGATGTGGACACAAGTGATGGCCCTTAAAAATATCCTAAAATATCTTCCAGTTTTCTCTTTCATGATAACCTTAGAGGCAACATGTTCTAAATGATGAGGATGGAGTAAGACAGACTGACTCACATCAGATTTTATGTGAGACATGAATCTTCAGTGGGGGCGTTACCAGAGCTTAGCATACCTCTGTTCAATAGTGAAGAGGGAAGAATTCAAATTAGGAAGTGACTACCACAGTAATGGGAGCCTGAAAGGAAAAAGGTGTAGGGTAGACTGAAAATTCAGACACAGGATGGACATCCAAGAGGTGTTTTAAATAGAGAGAACTCAGTAAGTAGAAAAGTCATTAATTCAGATAAATATTTATTGAGCACCTATTATGTGCAAGGCACTGTGTGAGATGCAAAGACACATAAGTCACGCCTCCAAGTGCTTACAATCTAGTTGAGGAGATAATACATGTACATAAATTATTAAACTAACCATATACCATAATGGTTAAGAGAACAGACTTTGAAGGTAGACTTGTATTCAAGGATTAGCTTCACCTTTTACTAGTTGTGTCACTTTGGGCAAATTATTTAACACCTATAAACTTCAGTTTGCTCACCTGTAAAACAAGGATAGTAATAGTACCTACTTCTACTTCACAGGGTTGGTGAGAGGACCAAATAATCTACTCTTTCCCAAACTCTCCGCTGAGTGCTTACCCCATAATAAGCACTCAGTAAGTGCTAACTAGTAGTAGTAGGAGGAGGAGGAGGAACCTAAAAGCTGGGACACAAAGAACAAGGTTGGTGCCCAAAAAAGCTCCCAGAGAAAGGAACACAGCAATAAAAAGAACTGTTCTGGAAACAACAGTGCTGCTCCAATTTTGCCTTCCCTCCTGTTCAAGCCTCCAGTTATTAAAGTGCAGTGATATCTGGGGCCACAGACAAGAGGCGTGTCTGAGGATCACCTCCTAATATTTATCCTGTTGTCTGACAAACTTCCGCAAAATGTCGACCCTTTAGAGTCACATCCTAACTTCTGGCATCCCATGTCAGTTCTATAACATGGTAGGTAGAAAATGTTTATTCACACTGTGGTAGCAGAGATGAAAAAGGAGATTAGTAGCCAGAATAGGTAGAATGCTCAAAGGATGGATTTGCTTATGATGGGGAAGACCTATCTTGAGTTTCTATGGAGGTCCTTTGACTAAAGCTTTCACCAACTCAATCTATTCCTTGTTTGGCGTAACGTCGTTGATGTTGAATAACGGACGATTTAGAACTGAACACTTTCCCACACACACTGCATTCAAAGGGTTTCTCTCCTGTATGCACTCTCTGATGTCGCGTAAGCCGGCATCTCTGGCTAAAGGCTTTCCCACATTCGGTGCACTCATATGGCTTGTCTCCAGTGTGAATCTTCTGATGCTGTGTAAGGGATGAGCGGTCAAAGAAAGCTTTCCCACACTCACTGCACTGATAGTGCGGCTCTCCAGTGTGAGCTTTCTGATGTCTGTTCAGGGATGAGACACCATAGAAGGCTTTCCCACACTCATTACATTCATAAGGCTTCCTGCCAGTGTGGATGAGCTGATGTCGAGTAAGAATACTCTTCTGGCTAAAGGCTTTCCCACACTGATTACATTCATAAGGGCTTTCTCCGGTATGGATTCTCTGGTGTCGGGTAAGGGATGAACGGTCAAAGAAGGCTTTCCCACACTCGCTGCATTTAAAGGGCTTCTCTCCAGTATGAATTCGCTGATGGACAGTTAGGGATGACCGGTCGAAAAAGGCCTTCCCACACGCGTTGCATTCGTAGGGGCTCTCCCCAGTGTGAGACATCAGATGTCTACTGAGACTGCTCCTGTGACTGAAGGCCTTCCCACACTCGTGACAGTCATAGGGCTTCTCTCCAGTGTGAGTCCTCTGGTGGCGGATAAGGGATGAGTGGTCAAAAAAGGTCTTCCCACAGTGGCTGCATTCCTGGTCTCTCTCTTTAGTGAGAATTTTCTTGAGAGGGGTAGACCCTTGCTGCAAGCTTTCCTTCTGGGAAAGGGACTTCTTGCAGGTCTGGACGGCAGGGCTCTCCTTTCCTTCTTCCGACTCATCCTCCAGTGCATGAGCTTCAAATTTAGGACACACAGGAACTTCTCCTCCAAGCTTTCCCCTCGCTGTTCCTTCTGATTCTTCTTCTGAAGCACCATGAATCTCAGGCTTAGTCTCCCAGTCTGGAATGGACAGAAAATACAGTTGTAGTTTCTTTCCTGGGGTAGGAACTACTACAGCAGAAAGAAGAGATGCTACAATAAATTGGAACAGTAGTGTATGGTAACCGCCCCACTTGCTCCCACAGACAGTTTTTTGCACTGGGAGAAGACTGAGACTTGGAAAGGGAACAGAACTGACAGTGGACAGCTCAGAAGAGAGAAGACTTTCCATTGGGCGCATGGCCAGGATAATTAGGAGAATATGGTAAGTGGGGGGGACGGTGGCAACAGGAATATCAAAGTGTGAATGGGCAACGTGACAGATCTGACAGAATAATAACATTCGGTGGATAAAGATGAGTAACACTTTCAGGTGTGGAGAAAAAAATGAAGCGGTGGGTGACAGAGAATAAACACGAAAGCAGAAGATGTGAATGTGAGAAAAACATGGTACCCAAGCCTCCTTCCCACACACCCAAATAACAACCACAAAACAAAACTCTGCCCTGCCCTGTTCATACACAGTTACCTAGAGAGACATTCTCTGGACATTCTCTCTCCTCAGATCCATGAAGATCAACTATCCAAGGCTCATCCCCTCTCTTCAACTGAAAAATGACATCAGGTCGAGGAACTGGAAGTCCTGCTCAGGGAGAAAGAAACAAGCCAGGTATGTGATGAAAATACATAACTATTCCAAAGCTTAAACCCAACCTCCAAATCTTTCTGAGAGAAAATGGAAAGGCAGACGGTGCACGCCAGGAATGCAGAGTACAAAGTAATGCAAAAGGATGAGGGAAACTCAGAATGGAGGTCAAGACTGAGGTTCTAAAAAGGAACAAGTAGCACTTGGTCAAAAAGTTGATAAAATCCATTTGAATTGATGTGTTTATTTTCCCCGTTGAAGTGAACGGGATGTCATAGCTTTAGCACTGGTAGGATGGTGGGAAACAGTCCTTGGCTCAGGGAAGATAAGAATGAAAACAGATCATCTTGAGTGAAAAACGTGTAATTTTGTTTGTTGGTTTACCCTTTGGTATTAAGCTCTTATTTATACAAGTGGGTCCTGTTCATTGTAGGAAAATTAGAGATAAGTAGAAATAAAAAGAAAAATCACCTTTTGTACTTTGTATTCATTTTTTCTTTCTATTCATTTTGAAACTGAAAGATACCTATAGATACATTCTGTTAAAAACTGGGTTATAAAATAATGCTGACTTGTAAACTTGATTTTTTTTTCACATAATAAACAAAATATTATTTTATTTCAATTAGCACAGATCTACATCACCACTTTAATGTCTACATGATGTTAACTGTATGGAATAATCTAATTTATTTAATCTCCTGCTGACAGACATTCAGAACTGTTTTTACTGTCTTGCTATTAACAAACAATGATGTGATGAACATTTTTGTATACCCGGGGCTGCTGATCTTATTATTTGCTTGGGACGAATTTCTAAGTGAATCTATCCATTTTTGGTTATTTAAAGAAATAGAATCTATCCTAGAAGTAGTCTTGAAGTCTAAACTTCAACTTGCATTGGGGCCCCCAATTTGGGAAAGAGAAACACTTTCTTACTGGGCCCAGGGATCACCTATCTGCTTAAATGCTGACCATCTGCTGACAAATCGGCCACATCCATTGCCTCCCTATGGCTTCCTGTTTCTGATCTTAGGAATTCTATTTTCCCCAATATTTCATCCCACCAAAGTCTGTGACAAAGGCTCAGCAGTCTCCCTTAATGCTCCCTGAACATTCCATCCTGTTTTTCCTATGTGGCCTATTTAAATTCTTGACCTGCCTCATAGAAAATCTGCAGTGTGACTCCTTTGACTGCCACCTGCTGCTTATTTTACACCTGTTTCTGAATCTGCACACTCTCTCAGTCTCTTATTCTGGAAGCTCCTAGGAAGTTGTCATTATGTACAGGAGCCCAACCTTTACTTCTCATGAATATCTCACACCAGCATTCTTTTTCTTTTCTTTACTTTTTTTTAAAGTAAGCTCTACACCCAGTGTGGGGCTTAAACTCACGACCCCAAGATCAAGAGTTGCATGCTCTACAGACTGAGCCGGCCAGGCACCTCCGTCAGCAGTCATTCTTAATTTTCCTTTTGTCACACAAGTCTCTAATAACAGCAAAGTGCCTTCTGCGGGCCTCTCTCTAAGACCACACTTAAGATAAATATTCAAAATCAAACTCATTTCTAGTGACCTACTCTGAGGCACAGCCTTGTATTTCTACACCCCTACTGCCCTCTTTTTAAAGGGAAACACTTCTCCCTTCCCTCCTCTCCTTCTCTGAGGAGAAATTTTCTCTCAACAAGATGGCACCCTTAGTCCTCTGGATGGAGCTGAGTAAGTTACCTGACTGATGAGCTGGGGGAGGAACTGGACATATGTAACTCAGCTTCTTTTGTTTGCCCCTTTCCCCCTTTGGAGAGTGGGTCCCCTGTACTGTAGGGACAGGCTGCTGAGCGGGGGAGGCTGGGGTTGTACAACCTGCCTATGGCTCAGGAAGCAAGTCTGTCCAATGCTGGGGTTCAGGAGTAAGAAGCTCACCTAAGCCATATCCTTCTACTCTTCCATCTTGTCTCTTGGTGCTTCAGAACTCAGGTGGGAGAAGAGGTATCATTTATTGGCCCCTCAACCCCCCATTAACACAGTACAGAGTCTGACTTCTTACGGGAAGTTCTCCTTACCCAATGAGACAATGCTCTTATAGTTTTCCAGCATCACCTCCTTGTAGAGGTCCCTCTGAATAGGGACTAGATGCCTCCACTCTTCATCTGTGAAAATCACGGCCACATCCTCGAATGTCACTGATTCCTGGAAACACAATCACATTGTCCCTTACTCATAACCCTTCTCTTTATATGGACCAGACAAAACAGTCATAAAGGTGACAGCCCTGGGGTTGTGGAAGGAGGGGAAGTGAAATGGTTCTGATAAAGTAGGGCTTTGAAGCACTTGGGGTAAGTGGCATAATTCCCTGAGGCATGAAGTTCTTGGTCATAATCCTTATATTCACAGCTGAGCCTGTGAATGTCAGGGGCTCTTTTTTCATACTTACAGATAATTTGTAAGACCAGAACAAAGAAAGCCTATGTACACCCTTCACCCAGCTTCCCCAAATGTTAACATTTTCCACATTTGCTTTATCTTTTTGTCTCTCTCAGTATATACACATTATCCTATCTTTTTCAACTTCTTGAGAGTGACCTGCAAACATGGTGCCTCTTTACTCATATTTTATGCAATTTTATAAAAACAAGGATATTCTCTTATATAATCACAGTATAGTAATGAAAGTCAAGAAAATATCATTGATATTATACTATAATCTACAACCTTATTTGAATTCCACCCATTATCTGGGTTTTTTTACAAATCCTTAAAATGATGGTGTTGATTAGGTTGTCCTTCGGATCCCCTCATTTCATGCTAATGCTTTGTGATTGTATAAGACTGCATCTTTACCCTCAGTCCTAAAACCCCAGATGAGTCTCCAGTGTGCCTGCTGAAGTTATAAGCCAGAGCATAGAATTCAAGACTCTGGGTCCATAGGCAGGAATGGGGCAAGCCCCATGTCTCTACCCACACTCATCTCTCTTCGGGACTCTTACCACCTCACTGCGGGGCTCTTCAGCAAGTGTCATGTTCCCCAGCCTAATCCAACACTTCCTGGAATACTTGGGGTCCGCTCTCAGAGAGATGCACTTTCATGGGATCTGCTCTCAGAGGGATGCACTGAAGGGAAGTCAGGACTAGAACTGTTCCCCAAACCATCCAAGCTGACCTATACCCTCATTTTTTTAGGCAAAAGCTCTCAGAGCCAAGGCCACAGTGGCCATGTGCCTGGTGACAAGCTAATGGGCACATGTTCAAGGCAAGAAAAGGTCACTGATGGATACCACAAGTCAAATGGGAAAGATGCATTCCCTCCGGAGCCCTTCATTCACCTGGCTAGGTTTGACTGAAGAAGCTTCCGGATAGAGAAAGAAGAGTGGTTGCAATCTGGAGACTCACAGAGTATTTCAGACACACAAAGTCCACCTCACCTGGCACCTGGCAGTCGGAGACACAGCAGCCATTCCTCCTGTGTGCTCTCCTTGTAGAAAAGGGCAGAGTCCTAATGAAGAAGAGGTGTGGGATGGGAAAGATGGTATGAGAAAGACCAGTCTTAGACGGTTTGTAGTTTTCCGACCCATAAAGCAAGAAATCTGCAAATACCAGTGAGTTATATACTCATTCTTTTTCTTAATACCCTACAAAAAGGGAAGGCAAAGCAAAGCAAGGCCAGGAGCAACACCACCCCAACCCAGAATTGGAATGAAAGGCCATGGATATTGCTAGTCAGGACACAAGGGGGTGCTGGTTTGACCATGATCCCAGAAGAAGAGTTCTGTTCCTGGGAATCAAGAACATATGAAGCTTATACTGTATTTATAAGTTCACATTCAATATTGCCCTGATGTTACCAGATAAAAAGTCTAAGAAATCTTATAAATGACTATATGGAAAGACATGTCAAGTAAATATCCATAGCCTCTTTTTTTTTTTTTTTAAGATTTTTATTTATTTGTTTGCTAGACAGAGAGTGAGAGAGAGTACAAGCAGAAGGAGTGGCAGGCAAAGGGAGAAGCAGGCTCCCTGTTGAGCAAGGATCCTGATGCGGGACTCAATCCCAGGACCCTGGATCATGACCTGAGCCGAAGGCAGATGCTTAACCGACTGAGCCACCCAGGCGTCCCACCCATAGCCTCTTTAAGGGAAAAATACCCCATTTGCAGCCCTGTGCTAAAGGAGTAGCCATTGGGCAACCATGTTTTGTTCCACGTGATGCTGTGTCTCACTCCTGGAGCCACACTGATGTAGGCCTCAGGTAGTAGACTGAGATGTGATCTAGCTTGAAAAGGTGAATATAAACTAAGAAATGTTAGGACAACAGGTGGGCGATGAGCTGAAAAGAATATCATAAGGGATGGAAGTAGCCATGAGGATCAGGGGAACCAAAGTTACCAGGAAGCAGAACCCGTGAGTCTGTGGAAGGCATGAACTGATAAGACTAGACACAGGCTGTGGGGAAGAAGAGCCTGGTCACATTAGTGGTGAAGCACTGGAGCAAAGACCTAAGAGTTTTTTACTGGCTTTGAAGTCCCTCAATTCATGCAGTACCACCCCTGGGCTCCAATTTGCATTTAGACCAGTCTTATTTATTCTTGGATTGCTGTAACACTCTAACCTTCTTAGGCTTGGCATGAATCCTATCACTAAACTCCCTTTATTTGAGTTAGCTGAGTAGGTCTCAGTTTCCCACAGTCAAGAGTCTAATTAAACACAGTTAAGTCAAGCACTTCCAGGAGTCATGAGTGGGATGGGAAGTGTGGTCCCAAGGAAGGATGAGGCAAAGAGGTGGCTCACTGATTACTCTCCTCCAGTCAAGGGGATATGGGTATTGATCCTTACTATTCACTCATCCTTCTATCCAACCAACATGTATTCAGCACCAACTATTTATACCAAACACAAAAACTTTAGGACACTATCCTTGTCCCCCAAAAGCTTATAGCTTAGAACATAGGGCAAACAAGTAACCCAAATAATGTGTCACTATAGGATGGATCTGTACTATAAAGAGATACCCACAACAAACTATGAAAGCCCATCAGAGGTTTGCCTCACCCACATAGGAGGCTGTAGACTCCTTGGCAGAAATGGGATGTAAGGTAAGTTTTGATTTGGGAGAGGAGGTGGAACATTCTGGGCAGGAAAAATACCAAGTTTTTCAAAAACGAGGAGGCAGGTCTTTACATGGACAAGATTAACAACTGTAACTAGTTTAGAATGGCAGAGGTCTAGGCTGTGAGCAGTGCTGTGGCGAAGTAGACAGGGACCAGCTAGATCAAGGACAGCTTTGTATGGTCCCATATATGGAAGAGGGACTAGGAGATCACTGAAGAATTTAAACATGGAAGTATTATCATCAGATTTGTGTTTTAGAAAGATCATTGCAATTTGTATAAAGGGCCTTGGAATACACATATTCTGGCTCAGCAAATCTTTCCTAGGAGTTTGTCCTAAGGAAATAAGTGAGAATATCCTTAGTCATCATTAACACTAACCTTTATTGAGCGTTACATGTGGTAACTTTTTAAGCACTTTACATGTATTATCTCATTTAATCCTTACAGTACAGGAAAAATTTGAAATACCCTATGTTTCTAAAACAGGAGATATGATTAAATAATTTGCAATCTAGCCCATCCATACACTGTAATACCATTTAATATCATATTCATAATAACTAGCATTTATTGAGTATTTGCTACTTACCAGGCACTGTGCTAAGCACTCTTATTTTTTTTTTAAGATTTTATTTATTTGAGGGGTGCCTGGGTGGCTCAGTCGTTAAGTGTCTGCCTTCGGCTCAGGTCATGTTCCCAGGGTCCTGGGATCAAGCCCCGTTCGGGCTCCCTGCTCGGCAGGAAGCCTGCTTCTCCCTCTCCCACTCCCCCTGCTTGTGTTCCCTCTCTTGCTGTGTCTCTCTCTGTCAAATAAATAAAATCTTAAAAAAAAAAAGATTTTATTTATTTGAGAGAGAGAAAGCACACAAGCAGGGGGAGGAGCAGAGGGGGAAGAACAAGTGGACTCCCTGATGAGCAGGGAGCCTGACATGGAGCTTGATCCCGTGACTCTTAGATCATGACCTGAGCTGAAACCAACAGTCAGACGCTTAACTGACTAAGCCAACCGGGTGTCCCAACTAAGCACTCTTTCTCAGGATAATTTAATTCCATATTCACAAATCAATAAGGTAGGTACTATTTAATTAATTAATTTTTAAAGATTTTATTTTATTTATTTGAGGGAGAGAGTGAGGGAGAGAGCACAAGCTGGGGAGAGGCAGAGGGAGAAAGAGAAGCAGACTCCCTGCTGAGCAGGGCACCCGATGCGGGGCTCGATCCCAGGATGGTACTGTTTAACAGATTAGGGAAGTTAAGGTTAAAAGAAGCTGAGGTAGAATTTGAACCCAGGTCTGTCAATCAGTTTTTTAACCTCTATGCTATAATGTGATTTTTATTTTCATGAAAAAATAGGCACACAGATAATAGACCGATAGACTAGAACAAAAAATCCCCCAACATATCCAAACATGTAGGGAAACTTGATATACAGCTGAGCTGGCATTACGAATCACTGAGGAAAAGATCACTAGTGATAAAGTGCAAACAACTTAAATGTTCATCAGAAGGATAAATTGTTATTTTATGTGTGTGAACTTATGTGTATTGGAACAGTATACATTAAGAAGTAGAGTCTTGTGTTAATAATAAATCACAAAAATTACTGAGCAAAAAATAAGAAAGTTTTAGAATTATTGTGTAATATCTATATAAAACTTAAAAACAAGGCACCAGGATGGCTCAGTCGGTTAAGCCTCTGACTCTTGATTTTGGCTCAGGTCATGATCTTAGATGATCTCAGGGTCATGAGGTTGAGCCCTGCATCAGGCTTCACACTAAGTGGGGAGTCTGCTTGAGATTCTCTCTCTCCCTCTGCTCCTCCCTACCAAGCTCACGCTCTTTCTCTCTCTCTCAAATAAATATATCTTAAAAAAAAACAAACTTAAAAACAGGTAAATAATATCTACAAAAATCTATATGGGACAGTAAGTACCAAATTGTGAGTTATCTCTGGCAAGGGAGGGATATGGAATTGGGACAGATAACCAGGAGAGTTCAACTTTGTGATGTTTTATTAAAAAAATTTTTTAAACAAATTCACAGATATTAAGTGAAGAATGCGTACTTAAAATTATTTATTTGTGTATGCATATATGTATAGAAAAAAGACCAAAAGAATATATACTAAAATGTAAGTGGAATTTGAGTGGTGGCATTACAAGTGGTTTTATTCTATTTCTTATAATTCTTTATATCCTGATTTTTGTTTTTATGAGTATGTATTTACTTTGGTGTACAGGAAAAATAACAGGAAGGAATGGGGGTATACAGAAAAGTTACAGCAGATCCAAGACAGCTATTCTTAGAAAGTTCTACTTGCCAGGTTGGTCCTTGGCTGGGGTCTGGGAACTTTGATTTTGGAAGGGTTCCCTAAGAAAGAAGGGTGGTCCATTATGCCTAAACTATTTGAGCAAACAATGTGATTTATGCTGAACACTTGCTTTCTTGCTAGAGGGTCTAGAATTTTGGAATGTGTAAGGCAGAGGGTGCCTACCTAACCAGCCCTCAATAAAAAAAACTTGGGCTCTGAGTCTCTAATGAGCTTTTGTGAGCTGGAACATCACACACATGTTGTTGCATTTTCATTGCTGAAGAGGATGTGTATGGTGGGACCCCTCATGGCGGGGAGAGAGCACAAGAAAGCCTGCATATGGGTTTCTCCAGACTCTGTCTCTTCCCCATATGACCTAGCTGTACATCCTTGCAAGATCACGGTCATAATCTTAGCCATGAGTGCAACTATAGGCTGAGCCCCACGTCCTTCCAGCAAATCCCTGAATGTGGGGTGATCTTGGGGACCTTCGACACAGGCAGCCATGCCATTCTGGGTGGCTATAGCAGAATGGGACTAGAGGAGGGCAAGAATGGAGGTAAGGAGACCAGTGAGGAATCTCATAATTAAATAAGGAAAAATGATGAAAACTGCAAAAGTAGTGGCAGCAGAAATGGACAGAAGGGGAACTACTGTCAAGACATGAAGAACAGGGACGTCTGGGTGGCTCAGTGGGTTAAGCATCTGCCTTGGGCTCAGATCATGATCCCAGGGTCCTAGGATTGAGTCCCGCATCAGGCTCCTTGCTCATCGGGGAGCCTGCTTCTTCCTCTGCCTGCAGCTCCCCCTGCTTGTGCTCTCTCTCTCTGACAAATAAATAAAAACATCTTTAAAAAGAAAAGAAGAAGAAGAAGAACAGAGAACAGACTGCAAGTGGAGGCTGAGGGTGATGGGCGAAGTAAAGATGACTTCCAGGTCACTGATCTGAACAACGGTGTGCACAATGGTACCATTCATGGAGATGAGCAACAGAGAAGAAGAAGGTTTAGAGGGAAAGCTAATGAGTACAGTTTGGAATATTTAGAGTTTGAGCTGTTCCCACATTTTTTAGATAGGAAAAATCAGGTGACTCTGGCTTCCACTGGCCAGGTTATAAAAATTATTATTGTTGAATGAAATAGTATGAATTTTGAAAGACCATGAGTTCCATACTCAAAATGGAAAAATTAATTTATTTTAAAAATGGTTGTAATACAAAGAGGGCAATGTTTATACCTTTAGTAATATAAATAAGTACTTTGTTTTTTTTCCCTATTAATTGTATGACTATTCACAAAGTACAGATGTATCTTTAGGTTATATACTTGTGTCCATTCACATAAGCATTAAGAAAGAAATCTTGGGAATGGGGATAAACCAAGTAATCCCAGAATCAGGAACTACAAACCCCAGTCTAATCAGTGCTGGGGAGAGGAAGAAAGAGCATGAGCTCTTCTAAAGAGGCAAAGTAACCATGCAGACTTAATTCTTCCTCCCTTAGGAGATGAGCCCACTATCTCATCTTATTAGTTATGAGATACTAATAAGGTACAGTTAAGTTTTCAAAAACACCAGAAGACCAGATCAATATATATTTACTAGACAATGGGTTATTGAACACTGGCCAAGCAAAACTTTAAAAGAATATCACCTTGAGGGTGAACACCAGTTTGCAAAAATGTTTAAAACCTACGCAAAAGGTAAAAACTTAAAAAAAACTTACTGGAAAAACATGTTTAGTATAAGTATAAAGAAAGAATTTTGACCTAAGGAGAGATTGGGATTTGAATCTTGTTAGGAGGAGGCAGAGTGATATATACACAAATGGAAACAAATAAGACATCATCAGTAGCCTGCAAGCTGAGTTAAGACAGCATTCTTTCCCTTGCTTGTCAAGATTCCTCCATTCTCAGGAGGGTCTTAAAACATTACTCTTGGGCCCTAGTAAGAAGTCCAAATTAGTATTTAGAGATACAGGAGAGTAAATTAGTATTTAGAGATACAGGAGAGTAAATTAGTATTTAGAGATACAGGAGAGACTGCCTGAAATAAAATTCCAGCTCTGCCTCTTACTACCTGTAATGACCTTAGGCAAGTTTCTCAACCTCTGTCTCAATTTACCCATCTGTAAAATTAGAATAATGAAAGTACCTATCTCATAGTTATTGTGATGCTTAAGTAGAATACATATAAAGCATATAGAATAACATGCTAGGTGTTAGCATTAGCTAAAAGTCATGTTATAATCTTAGGAAGGTAGAAATAATGAAAATATTAATTACAACATGTTGTTGCTGTTTTAGAGTAGGTTTAAGTGTAAGTGTAGTAATAACGTTGGAATCAAAGTATTTGAATATGTTGTCTAAAGCATCTGAGCTTTTCGAACAAATCGGTGGAACTACATCTGAAATTGTAGTTGAAACTGCTCAATGTTTAAATCCTTAAAGACAATTTTCAAAGTTTTATTTATTGGATTATGACTTCATGAAGTGAGCATTGAACACATTACAAATGGTGGTGAGCATAAAAGCTCCCCAGCCATTAAGTAAGCAGTCGATATTCCCAAGGTGTTCATTATCCATGGGCTCCCTGCCAGGCTGACTCCCCCCGCCACCTTGGCAGTTGCTTCAGAAGGCTCCCCAAATCCACCAAATTCACATGGAGTCACTTCTGTTTTCTCTTGTCCTATTACTGGTTCTCAGAGTATTTCTGGAGGAAAAAAAACTCTTCAAATTCTTATTCTAGATCTTCAAATGAGCCCTTGCCTAGAAAGCTTTTACTGTCCCATCCTTGCTCCGTAGCTATTCCAAAACTCCATGGCTACCATTCAATTTCAGAAGAACACTCACAAGAGTGTGTTCCAAAGGAGGCAGTCTGTGTGGTAAAAAGCATTCCACAGGCATTTAATTATTAATGGGAAGGCTTGGGCAGATTACTTAAGCTAAAAGTTGACCTCCAGTTGCTTAACACCTACTTCACAGAGAGTTATTAATAGTAAATGAATACTTAATGTAAAGCATTTATCTTACAGTCTGTTCAACAGATGAAAATTGCTTTCCTTTCTACTGCCCAACACCAACCCATTCATCCACTCATTCATCCTGCTATTCAACAAATATGTCCAAGTACCGGCTATGTGCATAGTAGCATGGGGTGTGAGGACAATGAAACAGAATATCTCCGTTTCTGGGTCTTTACCTGAATGTCCTCTGTGTCCTATCTCCTTTTCTACTACTGTTGCCTCTCAGAATCTTTTCCCTGCATTACCCAGTCTTTCTTTCTCCACCATCTCCCACCTCACCAGTAGCTTCTTTTCCCACATCCTCAAACAGATACAACCCTCGTCTATCTGAAACTTTCTTCACCGAATCCCATGGCCTCTCTCTAGCAAAAGAGTTCTCATTTGGGTTTTCCTTTCATGATTAAACTTCTTGGTGACACACACCTATCGATTCCATCTCCTCTTTTTGAATGTTATTCTGTTCTTGCCACCCCTCACCACCTGAAACTGTACGCTCGAAAATTACCAATGCATCTCTAATTACAATAGTCGTTTTCTCCTTATCTTTATTTCTCTGCTGCTTTTGATTGTTCTGACAAGTTCCTGCTTCTTTTCCCCAGTCTTGCCCTGGAAACTTGGGCGCTGTCCAACACTCTGTCTTCGTACAATGTTCTTGCTATCGCTCAGAAAGTCCATCCACCTGGCCCTCCATTTTCCTCCTCTACAGAGATGGTTCCCAGGCTAGTCCCAATACCTCTTCCAAACTCAGCTTGCCTTTCCAAGTGACTGCAAATTTTGATTTAGGCATTCTGCCAGCACCTCAAAACATCTTCTCCTATGCAACTCCCCAATTAACCCCTCTCCCTAGCTTGACATTTGTCAGATGTTCTATTATTTTCCCAGATGCCCCCAATTCAAACTTTTACCTTGCTCTCTTTCCTCCCAAATCTAGTTAGTTACCAGGTCCTTCTGACCCTTCTTCTGCATTCATTTTTATCCTTTCCTACCACTGACACCATTAATTCAGGTCTGTAACAACTTGCGTCAGGATTACTATGCATTCCTAACTGGCTCCCTGCCACTAGTCCCTTCCTCTCTCTAGTCCTGGACATGACCTCTAGAATTACTGTCCCCAAATAGTTTTATTACTGTCAGTCTTCAGATCAGAACTATACAATCCACTCTGCCTCCTGTGTTTTGTCCTGACCCTCTGTATCGTCATGCCAGTGTAGTTTTCTCCACCCTTAATCTCCCAATTACTCCTTGACACTTCACTCCAGTTAAAATCAGCTCCCTCCCAAATCTGCCTAATGCTCTGCTGCTGCTTTCCTGCCTTTTCTTTTTTCACCTCAATCCTACCTCCTTCATGAAAGGTTCCGCCTCATCAAGGCCCCTAGCAACTAAAGAATGATATTAAAGCATTCCTTTTACCATTCATTCCTCTGAACTAAGAAAAGATTGTGCATGATGGTGACAGCCGAAACAGACACATTAGGCATTAAGGTAGCTTTAATTATTGGTTTAATGGATAACCATATATGTCAAGCCAAGAGCTTTAAGGACTGCCTCTTAGACTCAATTCACGAATATCCTTTTTTAAATCATAGATATCTTAGAGATGTAGTTACTTCTAGAATTAAACTTGACAGCAAGCTAAATAATAACCATCGGTTTCAACAATGGATTCCAACCAGCTTAAAAGTTAAAGTGCCATGGTTAAAATTAAAAAAAAAATGTTCAATGATGTAGTCTAAAAAATGATGTATCCATCCTTAAATGAGGGCCTCGTATGGAGGCCCAAGACAGGGAGCTAACCGAGACAATCTGAGACGTTTTCTGGGAAAGAGGGAGGGGGTGGAGTAGGCGTCCCCACAGATTTAATGTCAATTCCACCCATATTTATTAAACACACATTATGGGAAGGAGGACGAGAGCGGAGGAAGGCTCCAAACTTACACCTGAAAGTTGGGATCTGGCAATATAGTGGGTGTATGCTGAAAGATCACTCCTGACAGTGCCCAGAGTCCACGGAACACACGCACACATCGGGGGCGAGGGGCAACTTTCCGTCCGCACCTCTCCGAGCTGGGACGTGTACACACACACATACACACACACTTACACTCTCTGCAGTCTCTCTGCAGGCTGGCACCGCCCGCGTCACCCCGTTCTACTCCCACAGCACCTCCCCCAAGTTCTCAGTGTCCCCTTCTTTCGGCCGCTGCGCTCACTCCGCATCTCGAAGTCAAACACCCAGCCCTCACCTCCGGCACAGAGTGCTCGGGACCCAGGAAGACGGCGCCTCGTCAGGTCGGGAAAGTAATGCGCCTGCGCGAAGGCTCTGACGTCTGCGCTCCCAATAATGTTCGGCCTTCTCACAGACTCCATTCCCCAGAAGTCTCAGCGGTTGGCGCGCTCCAATATGGCGTATGAAATTCTGCGCACGCGCACGCTTCTGGGAAAGGAAGGAGCTGACGGCTCTAAAGCGAGTCCGTCACAGCTTTCCAGTTGCTCTAGCCGGTTGAGGGAACGTTGGTGGATGTATGGGAGACTTACCGGACCCTGGAAGTACTGTCTATGTGTGATGTCACGTCCCTCCAGTCCTCCGATGGAAGGGCCGTCCGAAGGAAATGTGTCTGATCTTTGGGGCCGGTCCCTACCCTTGGTTTTCACCGCCCGAAAGAGCGAGAACGACGAGTCTCCTGGCGCTTTGAAGAGGCTTTTTTTCTGCTTCAGCTTGCCCACTTTCAGAGATTTGGTTCTGAAATTTGGGCCGGAGAAACGCAGAATTCGGTTCTAGGATGAGGCTGGGCCTGAGGCAGGGTACGTGTACATTTTTGCGCCGGAAGAGGAAAGCCCAGGATACACATCTGTTTAACTGGGCAGCCGGCAGATTACCGACAGTTTGAGCGCACACCAGTCCGCCTGCCTTGGTATTGCGGGAAGGGCCCTCCCTAGTTGGAGACGTAGGGATTCTCATCCTTGGCTGCATGTCGGAATCACCTGAAAAGCTTTGGACACATTGATACGTGGGGTCCACTCTAAAGAGAGTTACAGAGATCTTCAGGTGATTCTAATGCGCTGCTAGAGCTAAGAACCACTGAGCTGGAGCTTCAGAGAAGACTGGAGATTACAAGAGTATAATAGACTTCAGGAACAAGTCTACACTTCCACTCAAAAAACCTATAATGCCTACCATAGGCAAGGCATTGTTACAGATATAGATAAGACACAGTTACTGCCCCAAACGAACCATGGTCCAAAGGAAAAACCAGAATGTAAAAGTATTACAACACAATGCGGTATGTTCTGTACGTCACGTCCCGGACACAAGGGCCGTACAACCGGGAAGCAGTTAACTATGGCTGAGAAAGTTAGAAAAGGCCTATGACAGTTACAGTCCTATAAGTGATCCACTTGAAAAAGAGTACTTACTTTATTAAGAAGAAAGAAGGGGCGCCTGGGTGGCTCAGTTGGTTAAGGTTCGGACTCTTGATTTGGGCTCAGGTCATGATCTCAGAGTTCTGAGATCGAACCCCCAGTTGGACTCCATGCTCAGGGTGGACTCTGCCTGGGATTCTCTCTCCCTCTGCCGCCCCCAAATAAATAAATAAAATCTTAAAAAACAACAACAAAGTGCAATCTATGCAGAGAGAAGAGCACCCACAAAGATACAGACTAGGGGATAAAAGTGTGAAAAATTAGCAAGATGAATGGTCAGGGAGTATTTAGGGGCTGACAACCATAATTTGGGGCCAGATTGGGGATGGTTTTGTACTGTAGTAAGGGTTTGGACCTTCCAGGATTAGGACTTGATTGAAGTCATATTTTTCTTGCTGTTCCCTCCTGTGTGGTGGTGTTGTTTTTAATTTATTTAGCCTTATACTGAGAGTGGAAATTGTGTATGATCAGAAGCTGGGTGATGGGGTGGGAGAGAAATATTCAGGCACAATTTCACACTATCCCTGTAAAACACTGCTGCTTTTAATACCCAGGTCTGATTCCAGATTGGAATGGCTTTCTACTTCTCTGTTTTTTGTTCTTGGAATACCTTCTTTCAAAATGGCCACCATTGGGGCATCTTTAGTCCACCCTCCATGACTGCATATTCCTGAGCCCTAATTGTGAACAGGTTTCTGTTTTTACCATGGGGCTCCCAACCCAGGAAAGTTGGAGGTTGTGTGATGATGGATGCCTGAGCACACAGGGGACCTGTAGAAAACAATCTGTGCTTCAGTTCTGCCTTACAAAAGCACCTTCACATTTTTGTTTTTTAGAATTAGCTTAAAATAGGGCAAGCCATCTCCCTCAGGCTAATTTGACTTTGAGATGCTCTTGCTACCTACTCTTCCTCTGGGTAAACTATAGTTTATCAATATTGTTCCTAAAATCTGTTTCTCGTTTTTTCTCTCCATCTTCCATGGTAGTAGAATTTTAGCCAGGCACATGTTTAAAGAGTACATTTCTCTGCAGCTAGATGTGGTCAAGTGTTCTGGTAAATAGGATGTAAATGGATGTGCTGTATAGCTCCTCAGGACAATCTTCCTTACAGGACAGCCGGAGTCAAGAGTACAAAGGAATGAACTATTGATCCCCATGACAATACAGATGGATCTCAAGGGCTTTATGCCTTTTATCACTCAAGGGAGTGATAAAAGCCACTCTCAAAAGGTTACATACTGTATAATCCTGTATATGACATTCCAGAAAAGGCTAAACTATAGGGATAGATCAGTGGTCACACTAGGTTGGAATGGGAGAAATGTTTGACTACAAAGGAGCAGCAAAAGGGAATGTTGGGGTCATGCACAAACTTACCAGGTTGCTGGGGACCAGAGCTACCCTAACAGTAATTAACATCAAGTAGCACATGAGAGCACTCTGGAAGAGGGGACATCCTTGTTAAGCTATTGATTAACTCTCCTGGGTAACAAATGTGCATTGTGACATAGGCCTCTGGATCACACTCTGTCCTGAATTTAAGAGGACCAAAATTTCAGACACTGTAGCAGGCCAATGCCAAAAGACACATCAGGGACAGATGGCACCCCTCAAGATAATCTGAGCAGTTCCATTTCTATCTAGTTGTGCTAAGTCACCAATGAGATGACATTTTTTTTCTCATTTGTCCATCCCTTCACCTTCTTGGTTCCAGAGCACAGAAGGGAAGAGAAACTCCTGGGCCAGCCATGGTTCCCTGGCAGCACCTCCATCCCACCTGCTAGCCCCCTCCCTAGCCCCAAAGGAAGAGGGCTTGCTTGTTGGGCACTTGCTCTGCCATCCTGGCCATGTGTGCCACCATGAGTGCTGGCAGAAAGTGACACAGATTGAAAAAGCAAGAGGGGAGGGGCGCCTGGGTGGCTCAGTCGTTTAAGCGTCTGCCTTCGGCTCAGTTCATGATCCCGGGGTCCTGTGATCGAGCACCGCTTCGGGCTCCTGCTCGGCGGGAAGCCCGCTTGTGTTCCCTCTCTCGCTGTGTCTCTCTCTGTCAAATAAATAAAAAATCTTAAAAAAAAAAACACAAAACAAAACAAGAGGGGAAAATGGTGCTTTTTGCCCTGACTCAATGGGTTGTCCCTGAATCCCTAGATAGGGTCTATAAACCATTCTCAGTCCTCCCCTCTCTGGCTGAGGACTGCCTCCTGAGAACCATCGTTTTAATATTCAAACCTTTCCAAATTTCTTTTAGGTCCTAAATGATACACGTTTCTGGAGCAGGAAGGAGTCCACAGTCGTTTCTTCGTTGACCTTTCGCTGCACTCAGAACTTGCAGCAGTGCGAGGAAGGCGGAGAGGCACGGGACGGCCTGTAGAATAGCAATGAGCCATCTGTATCTCCTGGGCATTCTGTAGGAGATACGCCCAGAGTCTCCTGGAAATTCTTATTCGGCAGATTCAGGGTAGGGCCCAGGCTTCTCTTTTTAACAAATTTCCAGTGGTTTCTGGTTGGACAGCCCCAAACCCGGCTATCGAACCTAAGATGTAAGTGGCTCCCAGTTCCCAGCCGGTGGTGAGAGCACGGGAAACCCTATACCAAGGTCGGTAGCTCACTGTGCGGCTCCCGGGGCACTCCCCGCCCGCACGCCCAAGACCTCTCGCTCCGGCCCCCAGGGCGCAGGCGCCGCTCGCCCCGCCCCGCCCCGCGGACCCGCCCCGGACGCTCGCTGGTTTGACCCCCGCGCGGCGGCCCGTCTGCGCAGGCTCGGGACGGGTCTTGGCTCAGGGGCTGGGGCAGGGGTGGCCTTTACTCTTTGTGGGTTCGGCGACTTCGGGCGCGCAGGCCTGTCCCGGGCACCGCGCCCCGGCCCGTGACAGAGTTGGGAGTGCTCCTCCGCCTGCCCGCCTGCGAGGGGCTACGGGGGCCTGGAGCTAGGGGAAAGAGTTGCAGGGTCGGTCCGTGTCCTTGTGAGGCTCTCCCCCCGAATCCCTGCTGCCTTAGGGCCTTGGAGGAGCACTGGCCACCAAGGTCGCAGGCGTGACTACGGCCCTACCTCCTGGTGGTGTAGTCGTCACTGTGGGTGTGGGTCTGCGTGGGAACTCCGTTCCAGAGCCTGGTCCCAGAAGGGCGGCGGAGCGGAGCTAGTGCGCCCAGGCCCGGCTCTGGAACGCGGTCTGAGAGCGCGCCTGAAAGCGGGGGAACCGTCCCGCCCCGGGCGGCAGCGCTCCGCGCCCGGGCGGGAGTCCGGGTTTGATAGCCCTGCTCTGGGCCCTGCGGGTCGGCTGGGCGTCACCGCGCGGAGTGGGAATGCTCGATGTTACCCAGCTTACCAGCTTACTCCCTGCTCCCTGAACTGTAGGGAGGACCACAGGGCTGCGGCCGCAGGACAGTGATTTGGACCTAGTGAAAGGACGTCGTCCCTTAGCCCCAGCTATGGACTCCACAGCATCAGGTTTGGCTCTCGAGGGTACAGAGGGCCAGAAGCCCTTCTGGGGAGTTAGTAGTGGGCCGAGGAGGAGGAGGACCCTAGGAAGAAGCCGGGGAATCCACTGATGGGGCAGAGCCTGCAACCGTCTTCCCTGTGGCATTTCCTAATTTGCCAGGCCCAGGAGCATGAAGTCCTAGTATCCAAACACCATGGTAGAAGTGAGGGGATGGCCATGGAAGACTTCCGAAAGGCCAGAGGAGAGCGGGGGCGGAGGGAAAGGATCTCTTCCTGTGTGGGAGGGAGAGGGTAAACAATAAACAAACCTGTGGGGGAGCGGTCCTTGGCCAGAGATCAGGGGGCGGTGGGGCCATTTCGAGCCTTGCCACCATTTCCTTTATTGCTTCATTAACTAATAAGATTCCTCTAGCTTGTCTAGCTCAACTGTATACAAGATTAGCAGTGTACATGGGGGCACCTCCTGTAGCGACCCTTTCACTAGTGTTTGGGAGGAGGCAATCCAGGTGACCCAGGAGGTTTTAAGTCATTCCTTTGTAAATGTAGAGTCTCCTGTCCTTCACCAATGGGCATTTTAATTTGACTTTCCATTCTTCAGTGCAAATGCTCAAGGTCATAAGACTGGCCAATGGCAGAACTGGGCCAAATCTCCGGGACTATCACCCCTTCTGTATTCCTTTATGCCTGTGTTCTGTAGACCATCAGGACAGGAATCATCTCGAAACTCTTTAGAAATGCAGACTCTCAGGCCCTATCCTACATCCACTGAATCAGAGTCTGTTTAACAAGATTCTCAGGAATCTATACACACATTAAAGTTTGAGAAGTGCTGACCTATACTATACCATGCTGCTTGCCACTTCCGTGCTTTTGTTGTTAGCTATGACCACTTCTCTGGTATGGTTGGGGTTAGTTTTTTGTTTTCAGGCTTTAAAAACAAATACAAAACCCTATCATAGAGGGACTTGCAAAGTATGCTTGCAGAGACCTAATGATGCTTGGGAACTTCTCAGGAAGAACTGACCTTTGAGCTGGCTTCCCAAGGATGAGGGGAAATGTGTGACTTCTTTCCCTTAAAGTCAATATCCCTCTGCGGCCTTGCCCTGGGCCTTGTTTTGTATGCTTAACCTGTCATACCGCAGGCTAGATTTAAAGTTCCTTGAAAGCCTTCTCCATGTTTATATTTTTAAAAAGCCTAGAAGGACCTATATATTGGGATACCCAGTAAATAACTGTCCAGTGGAGTGGCCAGGCTATGGTGATACTTCAGTTACCTGCAACCTGCTGTGGCCTTTGGACAGGAAGTGGGCCGGCGGGGTTGTG